TCCTGCGGGCCGCCTCCTGCTCCGCCTCATTGATTTCATGGACATTTGAGGGCGCTGCTTCATTCAAAGTCCCCGTCAAATTCACCGGATGTATAGGGACCATCCTAGGGACAAATGTCGACGGGGTCGACACCGGAGGTGGCATAATTGGCGGCGTCATACCAGGATAGGCAAATGGCATGAAGCCACCTGCCTGTTGCATCATGGCCATCACCTGTTGATAGCCCTGTAGAGCCTGAGCATTTGCCGGGTCAGCAGCAAACTGAGCCCAAGCTGACGGGTATGGTGTGAATGCTCCACCAGGCGTTGTTATCGAGCCTGGGAACATTGTTGTCGTCGGCGTAGGAGTTGGGGTTGACATGATTGGGATCATGCCAATTGATCCTACAGTAGTGATCGGAGCAAAGGTCGTCCCCATGCTCGACATCATCAATGGGATGGCAGGAGTGCTTTCACTCGCAGCCTGGCTTGACACAGCGTTGTAGTTGCTCGAAGACATGATTGTGGATATTTAGTGGGGGTAAAGTTTTGACCTGGTTGAAAAAAATTTAAAAATCGGTCCCACGGTCGGCGCCAAAAATGATGGTGTAAATATAGCTGGGTGGGTTAACCGGGTTTGACCTGGACACACTCGACCCGTAATATAAAACACACAACAAGAACACAAAGTATGACCTAGACCGGGTAAATCTCCTCAGTCCGAATTATATTTCTTACTCTATCTCAAGAGTGAACTTTAGTGAGAGAAAAATTGGATTCCCTCCTCTATCCAATATCATCATATTTATAGAGGAGGATTTGTGACCTTCCCCTGTTCATCCATGGACAAAATAGGAAGCTCGTGGGAAGGTCACTGTAGATAATGGGAACACTGTACAATCATAGAATTTAGCAACTATAGGCCAAGACATGTACTGTTCAATCAAAGACTAAAATGGATATTTTCAATCCAATCAACCCTGCAAAATGACAAACATCCCTTTCACTGTGTGCCTCGTGATGGATGAGCGGCGGGGCCTTGACCTCTGACGTGGTTCACCATGCCTAAGAGACTGATGTTAGCCAAGTAAAGTGATATGACCGGTCACCTTCTCTCAAAAGTTACCCGGTCATTCTTTGTGCTCAACCCGTCTCTGGTCTTCTAGAGAATGTCCTTTGTAACATTAGGCGACATTTTGGCTATCGCCCAAAAATGTGACCGGTCACTTTTTTAGTGGAAGTGACCGGTCAACTTTTGACCCGTCCCAATCGAAGAGTTAACCTCATTTGGTGATTGATAAAAGTGACCGGTCATATTTTGACCTGTCCCTTTCGGTTGTCCGGGTCGGGTATAAGGATATACCCATCAATCTATGTATATATACATATATTCGAATATTCGAATATTATCCGAATCCAATATATCCTTATTTAATTTGTATTTGTATTTGTTTAATATTCGAACCAAAAATAATATTTGAATTTGAATTTGTATTTGAATAATGCGAATTCGAATCATTATATTCGAATACGAATCACGAATCGAATTTAAAATATTTGTTTTGTTTAGATCCCTAGGAGGGAGTATATTAATGCACTATAATTTTTTAAATTGAAACATAAGATTCATATGGTTTGATTCGAAAAGCCAACTCGCAAATATATTGAAATGGGGGAATATATATGTAAAATCATCTATTAATTGGTTCGTAGAAGCGTTGTTTTTTTTATTTCTATAGCGTACGTGTTGCATTGGATGGGCCTCTATTTATATGATCATATTCGATCAGTTGGGAATATATAATTTCAAGTGAATAAAGTGTGCCCATAAAAAAGTGGTTCTAATTATATTAACTAATCGGTGGTCTTTAATACTTTTCTTCTTTTACTTTTCATATTTAGAGTCTGTTCTTTAGAACATGTTTAGAGACTTTATTAAGTCCGAAGTGACACTTTCTTTCATTACCACATAAAAAGTAGAGATTCTTAAAATTTCACTCCAATGGTTGGTCCCTTTATTCTCAAAGCCGAAGTCCAAATATATGCAATAATAATTTACTATTTAATATTTAATATTTAATATTTAATATTTAATATTTAATATTTAATATTTAATATTTAATATTTAATATTTAATATTTAATATTTAATATTTAATATTTAATATTTAATATTTAATATTTAAAATATAAATTTTAAATTATTAAGTTTAAATTAAGAATATAAAATTTTAAATTCTTTATATTTAATATTTAAGATTTATTTTTCATTTTAAATTTCAATTTTTTTACTTTAAATTTTACATTTTAATTTTTTTACTATCAAATTTTAAAATTTTAACTTTAAGTTTTATATTTTATATTTTTATTTTTTAAATTTTATTTTTAATTTTTTTAGTTTTAAATTTTATTTTTGAAATTATAGATTTAAATATTTAGTTTTAAGTTTGAAATTTTAAATGTTTAGCTTTAAATTTGAAATTCTTAGTTTTAGGTTTGAAATTTTTAATTGTCTTTTAAATTTAAATTTTAGTTTTTAACTTTTAATTTTTAAATTTGATATTTTATATTATACTGTTTTACCTTTAATTTTTTATTTCTTTAAATTTAAAAAACATTTTCAATTTATATTTTTAAAATTTTGATTTTTACTTTTTAAATTTTAGTTTTTTTTTAATTCTCAATTTTTAATTATTAATTATGAAGTAATAATTTTAATTTTTGGTTTTTTTGTATCATTAGTTTTAAAATTTTAAGTTTAGATTTATAGTTGTTTGTTTTTTATATTTGATTTTTGCTTTTAATCTTAAATCTTAAGCTTTTAATTTTCAATTTAAATTTTAAATTTCTATTTTCCAACCTTAGACTTTAAATTTTGAATTTATTTTATTTAATTTTTAATTTTTCATTTTACTTTATAGTTTTAGTTGTTATTTTTAAATTTAAAATTTTTTGTTTTTATTTTATTAGACTTGTTTCATTGTCAAAAAACAGAAATGGTTTGCGTGATTTCGTTTTAACCTGTAGAATTCAAATTTTGGGTTTTCAAATCTTTGTCTGTGCTATGAAATTCAAAATTTTAAATTTTTACATATTTTTGTGCTACCAAATAATAGAATTAGAATTGAAGTGTTCAATTTAATTCTATGACCTGAAATTCCGTGTATCCAAACCCACTCTTATTGATTTTGCACTTGGGACGGTTCGTGGGAGGTCCCAGTCCCAATTTTATACATATACTCGAATGAAAAAAGAGAGTTGGGACTCACTGTTTTTGTGTATTGGACATGCTCATAGGGATGGAAATAAAGAACAAAATGTTTGGAAAAACTTTTAAAAACTAGAAAAAAGTGAAAAAACGGGAAGAAATTGAAACAATTTGAAAAAACTAGAGTAAACTCAAAAAAATTGAAAAAACCTCAAAAATATATTTAAGTGTACTTTACATTGTAACCGTATTATAATTGTTATTGTTTATTATTATTATTAGTATATAAAATAATAATTAAAGAAAGTGAATAAAGTTTGACTACGTGATTCAGTGTACATGTCACTTAATTAAAGATAAAGGTAGTATAATTATTATTTTTAATTTTAAAAATTTATGTCACTACTACAAATTAATACTTATATTTAAATGTTGCGTATGAATAACTAAAGCAAGATTTTTTCTAATATAAAGTGTTATTTAAAATTACTGCATTAGGCAACACTTTTGAAAAGTATTGCCTTTAAATAAGAAAAAGTTACTCTTAGACAACACTTCGAGAAATGTCACATTAAAATGAGGCGTGTATAGGGATGATAAAGGGCCGGGTTGAGATCGGGTAGTACAATATCCAAACCCGATCCAACTTTTAAAATTGAAACCCGAACCCAACACAGAACCCGACATTATATTTAAACAAAAAACCCGACCCGAATCCGACATTTAAATCGAAACCCGAATATAGCGTGCTCATTATTTGTTTCATTCACTTCTTTCATTGTTAATATAAATAATACGGAGTACAATTTTATTAGGATTTTTTTAAAGTGAATAAAGTTTACATTCACTATTCACAGGGTCAAACTTTATTCACTTTGTTGATCTATTTCCGTCACTCATTTGATAAAATAATATAGTCATGTCATCTCTAGTTTTGTAGATCTTTTGATATAGTTTTTAATATGTAATTTTTATTTTTCAATTCTACACCATTTTTCATATAAAATGATTTGAAAATAAATTCAGTCAAACATCGTAACGCGCAACGTAAAGTTTATTTGTGGACGGATGGAGTATAAAACTTCTTTCTTGGAGTTTTAGTTTCAAAACCCTCTCTCTTGAATTTTGAAAAATCAAAGGTTAAAAGCAAATGTAGATTGCATAATTAAATCTATTTAAACCGTAAATTACTTTTTATGCATCATTCTTCCATTTTATTCAAGACAAGACACAATGTTGAAGTGAAGGAAATTACGGAGTACTCCCTCCCTCCCTCATAGATCTTCTCAATAGCCCTTTTTCTATGTCCACAATAGATCTTCTCATTTCATTTTTTAACAATTAAAATACCACAACTACCCCCACTTACTTTATTTATTACACCTCACCCACCACGTTTAATACCCTCCACCCATTTTTCATTAAGGGTATTATGGTAAACTTTCACCTTTTTTCAACTCTCCTTAAAAATCACCAAAAGTCAAAATGAGAACATCTTAGTGGGACGGAGGTAGTATTTATTAAACGTCATTGTCAAAAGTAACTGATGTTTTATTTTTATAGAGTTGAACTCTTTTCCCTTTACACTATCTTTGGTTAATAAATTTGAAAGAGAACAGAAAAGAAAATGAAGTGGAAAATAGATTTTATTGTTTGGTTAGAGAAGAAAAAAAAGAAAAATGGAAGGAATAGAAAATGAGAAAGCAAATTATATTAAGAGGATATTTGAAAAACCAATATATTGTCATTTTGGTGAGGAAAACGAGAAAAAATCATTTTCTTTTATTTTCCAATTCCTTGAACGAAACATAGTGTTTACGAAGTGAAACTCTAATTTACCGCATTAACCACTTCAATATATGCTATGTTTGCATGTTTAATTTAGACAAGACGATCAACTTCTCACAACTTCAAATTTTAACTTTTTGACGTTATGAACCAAGAAAAATTTGTGTTTGGACTGATTAAATATGTTTTATTACTTTTATAACACATAATTCCATATGATCTGTCATATATGTCTTCATTAGTAACAAGTGTTCCATAATGATTGATTATACGAATGATTCTACGAATGTGGTCATTAGCAAATAATGTTGGATAATGACTGATTATTTCAATAACTATTCAAATGGTTTTTAATAGTGTCTTATTATAATTGAATTGTGTAATAGATCATTTTTTCCAAAATCATGATATTTTAGAATTTTCTATTGTTAAATATTAGAGAGTCGATGAGACTGATCCTATTTAGGAAAACGTAATATGTTTAAGTCTTATTTATGTAAATACTCATGAACTAAACGAATTCATTTACTAAATTCTTAATGGCAAAGCCGTGTCTTTGCTGTTTGAGCCGGAGTCTCTTAGAAATAGCCTCTATATTATTGAGTACACGTAAGGTCAGAGTGCGCACACCTACTCCAGACCCTACTCTTGTGGAATCTAATTGGGTTGTTGTTGGTAATGGTAAAACCGCTTATTAGCAGCTTGACATTGCGCGAGTTGGTATATGGTACATCCGGATGTACCTAGAGATAGGTACATCCATGTAGTACTAATTTCGAAGTAAAGTAGTACTCATTCTCGCACAAGCATAATGGTTTATTTGAAAAACGTGGTACTAATTCTGAAATAACGCTGTACTCATTCAGAAATAACGTCGTACTCATTTTCACAAAATTTGTTCAATATTCATTTATGATAACATAATATTCATTCTAAAATACAGTAGTACTCATTCCCATATAACCTAGTACTCAATCTTAAACAACGTACCATTCATATAATCATATGTCTTTGAAATCTGGTAAGTGGAAGAAAAGATCTCTCGGAAGCGGAAGACCATCGCGAGCAACTGGAAGCAGAATTGATCAGATCTTCGCATATCCAAGCAGCTGTCGCTGATCAGACCTTCATCGTTCAATTGTCGATCGGACTTCCAAATAACCTCCATCGTCATCGTGTAATCGCCGATTGGACCTTCATCGTGCAGCCTCCTTCATCGTGTAATCGCCGATCGGGAATCCAATGAGTCCCATCGCGTAGCCTCCTTCATGGCTGATCCATTCGGCCGTTCTTGCAGCAGGCCCCCCATTCGATCGGCCTAATTAATTGCCGATTGTACGATTCTTCTCGTACAGCCGGATGTACAGTATAATTTGCGACGTTGCCCAATTGGTAAGACAACACCTACCTAGGCTAAATTTGTTCAAAATATGCCCGAAACTGATTTCAACCGTCAATTTTGCATGTACTAGCAAGTTGCAAATGATGGCTTTTTCTCGTCTCCTTCTCTAAGCCCGCCACGTCCCCATCGGCGTGTCGCCATCTCCCCATCTCCCTTCTCAATGGGTCTTCAGTTCTCCGCTGCTTCGAAATCTGAGATTGACACCGCCCATCGATCGGCGGACGGCAGAGATGAAGGCAGAGAGCTTGCTGGTGTCGACGGCGATCAACATAGGTTTGGCCCTCTTCGTCATCTCCCTCTTCTCCCTACTCAAGACCCGCACTTTCTGCGCCCCCATTTATTACCCTCGCCGCCTCTCCCTCCAGCCGCCGCCGCCCCATTCTGCTGCTCCCCTTGCCCGATGCCCCCCGTCTGGCCTGAGCTGGATTCGCCGCGCCGTCTCTGTTTCCGATGACCGGATTCTTGAAACCCACGGCCTTGACGTCCTCGTCTTCGTCAGGTTTTTCAAATTCGGGTACTTACGGCGTCAATTAATTCCTTAGTTAATGCTAATCTTTAGGGATTTGATAACAAGAAGCTTAGTTAACCCCCTGTTTGAATTGTTTGAATTCTATTCCTTTAATGTGTGCCATTACAATCTATTGGATGAGCTTTATTGAAGCTCTTCTTTATCCTTACTTCCGGAGTAATGGTTCACTTTTGACATTTTTTTTATTAAAATTGATAAACTTTGACTTTAAATTAAATAAAAATGATATTAGATATTGATACAAAAATAGTTTTATTAGATTTATTATATAAAATATTTTAAAATATTATTTTATCTAATTAATATACAATATATATTTTATTTAATTATATGTCAAAGGTTGAAAACAGTTGATTGAAAAAAAGTCAAAACTGGACAAAATACTGGACAAAATACTCAGGGACGGAGGTAGTATTTTTTATTTTACTTAAAAGCCTTAATCTAGATGTATACTTCAATTTTAATCATAAAAATTGGAGTATGGGACCAAAGGTGGAACTTTACAATTGAAGTCATCCCAATTTTACTCTGTATGACAATGTGGCATGAGTGGGGTTCTTTATCTAGCAGTCATGGGTGTCATAATATGACACTCATGCCATTTGAGTGAAGGTCCCTCAAATGGCACGAGTGTCATATCTTATGAAAACCGCCTTTGGTGTCAAAAGAACCCACACATGTGGCATATAGTTGGATAAAGAAATAAGACTTGCTATGAAAGATGCTTTTAAAATCACATGTAGAGCTATTATACGTAAATACGTATGCATTTTTTGCAGGATTAAATTCTTTGTGGGATGTTCTTTAGTCGGTGTGTTAGTTCTTCTCCCCTTGAATTATTTTGGAAGCAATGAGGAATCTAAGAGCTATCATTCCACCGATTCGTTTACAATATCAAATATAAGTAGTGGCTCTAACTGGTAACTAATGCATATAAACTTTTTTTTCTAAGTTAGGTTCACATGCAAAATCTTTATTTTGTTGAACTTTCCTCATATATGATACATTTGGTTTCACAGGCTTTGGGTGCATTTTTCAGTCCTTTGTTTTGTTTCTTGCTATGGATTATACTTGCTATACAAGGTAACTTTTTGGTGATTGCAGGTTTTGGGGATTAATTCTTTCTCATTTGGCTTTATACTCTGTGGACTGTGGTTATTATTGATTCTCTTGATTGTGCCTTTTTGCCATTTCTGCCCATCATTTACAGATATGCAAGTGGAGTACGCCATTATATATATTGCATGCCGTTTTTTGCCAACTTCAATCATATTGTTATAATTTAAGACAAGCAATAAAGAAAACTTCTGATTTAGTTGAGGAAAATATATGAATGAAAAATGTAGTACAGAGTAATAAATAAATTGATGAAAGTTTTCCAAACTTGGTGCGAATTGGTTTTAGCAAGTAAAAAAGTTAAAGCGTTTATGTTTGGTAGGAATATGATTATATTTTGCTTAAAAGGATTCAGCAACTGCGTAGCAAAAGGGAATATCCCAACCAGTTTGCCATTTTGGTCCGAGAAATTCCGTTTTGCCAAGAACACAAGGCTCGGGGGTGCTGCATAGAACACTTCTTCACCAAGTATCACCCGCATTCTTATCAATCTTATCAAATTCTTTATGATGGAAAGGAACTTGACAATTTGTTGGTGAGTGCATAATCTATGCCGGGTCGAAACATGATTTTTAATTTGTGTGTTCATCATGGGCTTACTCTTTTTTTTTTATTCGTAAAGGACCATGCTACAGTTATACCAAGTTTGACACCATGTGTTTCACAGACATGCAATCATTATCTGGCTGCAAAGAGCCAAAGCCATTCATTGTTTGTGCATGTCCATGAAATACATGGTTTCAAACTTTGGTGTCAAACTCTGGTGTTAAAAATAGGTCTACCCACTGATAAAAACAACCATTTGAGTATAGCTGGTGCTTTGCGTGCAGAACAAGGCAAAGTCCACTGCGAAGAAGATTGAGGATCTAAAAGAGAAACATTCAAATAAGAAATGTTGCCGAAGCTCTTTTTCGCTTGGTTCATTTAGAGAGAAACAAAAGATTGAAAAGCTCGAGAAAACGCTTCGTGATCTCGGTTGCAAAATAAGGCACGTGAGGCATACCATGATGCTTCAAGAGAAGGTAAAGCTTCTCACACTTCAGCTAATTGATCATGTGGGTATATTTGGAATTACAAACTACTGGTTTGTAATAATTTATTTTTTTAAATAACGGGCCTTGTGGTTTTTGATATTATAGGAATTGCCTGTTGCATTTGTTACATTCAGGTCACGTTGTGGTGCTGCTCTGGCTGCACAATCTCAGCACCATTCAAATCCGTTACTATGGATCACCGAAATGGCCCCTGAAGCAAGGGATGTGATTTGGGGAAACGTGGCAACTCCGTACCGGCAATTGCCACTTTATGAGATTGGAATACTCGGTGCAGTGGTCATCCTCACACTTTTCTTTGCAATACCAGTTGCAGCAGTTCAAGGAATTGCCAAATATGAAAGATTGCGAAAATGGTTTCCTCCTGTTAAGGCCATTGAGTTGGTGTAAGAAGCTTCTAAACAACTGATACAAACAAAACTCATCTTACCAAACACTTGGAATGTTTTATGGGGTCATAAAATCTAGAATGTTTTCTGCAGTCCGGGGCTAAAGTCCGTGGTTACAGGATACCTTCCGAGTGCCATTCTTAATGGGTTCATTTACATTGTTCCATTTGCTATGATTGGGCTGTCAAGATTAGGGGGATGCATCACAAGAAGCAAGCAAGATATGAAGACATGCAAGATGGTGTTCTATTTTTTGGTGGCGAATGTGTTCTTCTTAAGTTTGTTGTCGGGGTCCTTACTTGATCAGATCGGCGAGTCGTTCTCCCAACCCAAATATATTCCTAGTCGCCTTGCTAGTGCTGTCTCTGCCCAAGTAAGTTAATTGAATGTCTATATATATTTCACTTGTACCTTCTTCCTCAAAGGTCTCATATATACTACTCGTAATTGATATAAGGGATTTGTCTTTCTATTGATTCAGGCAGACTTCTTTTTGACATACATCTTGACGAATGGCCTGTCGGGGTTTTCTTTGGAGATTCTTCAACCTGGATTGCTTGTTTGGGATGCTATAAAATCAAACACATGGGATCGCGGGAGGGAAAGAACCCCATATCTCTATTCTTTACCTTATTATCGGATCATTCCATTCGTCGCTCTTTCTACACTCATTGGCATCGTATACGCAGTCGTCTCGCCTATGCTTCTTCCCTTTCTCACTGGCTACTTTCTGCTTGGCTATGTCGTGTTCATCCATCAGGTTTGGATCTGTTTGGCAACAGCTTCAGTGTTTTGAAAAAGAAAACTATCTAGCCACAGCGTTGAGCTTTAGCATCATTTTTATCTCTGATTTCAATCAACGCAGATCGAAGATGTTTATATAACATCATATGAGACGTTCGGGCAGTATTGGCCATACATTCATCACTACATCATTGTTGCACTCGTCCTCATGCAAATCACGATGATCGGTCTTTTCGGACTCAAGTCAAAGCCTTCGGCTTCCTTCTCCACTATACCACTCCTCATTCTCACTTTGATCTTTAATCACTACTGCAACATCCGGTTTTACCCTACCTTTTGCCGTCTTTCCATACAGGTAATGGATAACTTGCTTTAACGGGAACATATCTTTGTATACCACAACGACCTAATTGAATCCCACAAGAGTAGGGTCTGGAGGGTATTTACGCGGACCTTGCCCCTACTCGAAAGTAAAGAGATGTTTGTAGATAAAGTTTGCATAAACTCACCCTAGACCCTACTTAGGGTTTGTTGTATATTCTGCTTTGATTTTGAAACTCATTAAAGGGTACTAAGTTTGAAGGGAAAATGTATAAAATGCGCTTTTATTTTCGTGTAGAATTAAATTACTGTTGTAAGCGTGTAGGATGCTGTAACGAATGATGAACTCGACCAAAATGAAGGTGTGATGGAGGAAAATGTACGAAAGGTGCTCGACGAGTACTCTCCTCCGTGTTTGTTGCCGGTGGATTTTGGAACCTCAGATGATTCAGGCTCAACAGAGCCATTAATACCGTGATCCAAACAGGGAAATAGCGTGCACGTACGGTCGTACGTGATTTACTCTGTCCATCCTAAGAAAGATCTTTCCATTTGTTTTTTTTGGTTTGTCTTAAAAATTTCTTCTCGGTTTCCTTTTTTTTTGAAAGATTTGTGCGGTTGGTAATGTTTTTATCGTTCCTTTATAAATCGCAAGCGCACAATTTCATCTTCTAAATGAGTGTCAGAGAAGAAAATTTTAGGGCAAAATGCTTGTTTTCAATTTCATGCCTCAATATGTTGTGGTGAAGATGGCCGTTCGTGGTTTTCCTCCTTTTTTTGGAGGATTTTTTTTTTTGCACTCTTCCCCATAAAACATTTTCCACATTCATATTTGTCCTTTTTTTCAAGAAAGAAATGCTTCATCTATTGAAGACTTTAATCATCATATTTATTAAATTTGTGTTACACAATGAAAAAAATTTGAAACTTTTTTTCCCAAATAATTCTAAAAATTATTTTTTTACTAAGATATACTCTCTCCGTCCCTAAATATATCTTACATTTACTTTTTAAGCAGTCGCGGAACTTTTGTTTATTTCTATGTTTTGATTAGTTATTTGATAAAATAAAAAATTCTTGACACCTCTTATTTCAAAAAAAAATTCATGTAGTTTCTTGAAATATAAATTTTATTTTTTATTTCTATACCAATATGTAAATAAAATGAATTAAAAAACTTGATATTTTACCTTGGTAATAGAAATGTGAGATATATTTAGAGACACAGGGAGTACTTAATAATATACGGTGTAATTATTTAACTAAAGATTAAAATTTGTCTTTAAAAAGTTAAATTGAACAAATACTCTCACACAAAGTTAATATGTGACTTATAATATGTTTATATTCTAAAAAAATTTTAATTACAAGTTTTTTGAAAAAAGTTAGGTCCCATCTTCGAAAGCTTTCTTAGACCTGGCAAGACGATCACTGAGAAATTAAATTGAACTTTAATTGTAGATTGATAGTAGAAAGTGGAGCTTGTACTTAACACTTGCAGAGATCCTATGCTTAACATAGTTGTCTTCTAGCCCGGTTATTAATAATCAAATTCGGTTTTACCTCTTGTCACTTAAAGCGACCGAGGTTGCGCTCCATTTGCCTGATCTAAACTGATCTGATTTTTAGAATTTGATCTAATCTAATTGGATCTGTTCTGATATCATCTGATTAGATCTGGTCTGATGAGATCTGATTCAATGTAATCTGATATAAATTTGATTTAAAATAGAATTATTATTATAATAGTTATAATAATGATAATAGAAATATTAATAGTAATAATAATAAAAATAATAGTAATAGTAATAGTAATAGTTATAATATTAATAACAATAGTAAAAATAATAATAACTAGAATAATACTGTAATACTTATAAAAATAATACTACTAATAATAATAGTTATAATAATAATAATAATAATAATAATAATAATAATAATAATAATAACTATAATAATAATGCTAATAATAATAGTAATTATAATACTCCGTAGTAATCATAATAACAATAATGGTAATAATAATAATAGCATTAATAGTAATAGTAATAATAATAGTACTCCCTCCGTCCCATTATAACGCCTGTTTCAGTTTACGATGTTCGACTGAAATTATTTTCAAATCATTTTATATGACAAATGGTATATAGTTAAAAAATAAAAATTACATATTAAAATACTATATCAAAAGATCTACAAAACTAGTAGTGACAATAGTACTTCGTTTTATCAAATTGTTAACAAAAATAGAGAAAGAAAATGAATGAAGTTTGACCTTGTGAATAGTAAACAAACATTACAATTTGGGACGGAGGGAATAATAGTTATAATAACAATAGTAATAATAATTATAAACATGATAAAAATAGTAATAATAATAGTAATAATTAATAGTATTAATAATAATAGTATTAATAATAGTAATAGTTATAATAATAGTAATAATAATAGTAATAGTAATAGTAACAATAGTAGTAGTTATAACAATAATAATTGTAATAGTAATAATAATAATAATAATAATGACAATAAGAATAGTAATAGTAATGAAAACGAAAGTAACAATAATATTATTATTAATATTAATAGTAATAATAATAATAACAATAGTAATGATAATTATAATTGTAATAATAATAGTAATAGTAATAATAACACTAATGGTAATAATAATAATAGTAATAATAATAAAAACAATAAATTTATTTGGATCCCTAGTTGAATTTCGACCGTATGATTTTAAGTTGTCCCGCTCATGTTTCATTTGAAATCAGGACAATAGTAGTTCGGGACAAAAAAACATGGGTCCCAAATAAGTTGTTACAATTACAAAATGATTCCATTTTTTTTGAAATGGTCCAACGATAATGGATTCCATGCCCACCCATACCACAAAGTATGCATTTTTTTCACCTCACTCTCAAAATATAGATGGTAGCAACGACTAGAGATGTTCAGTCTCAAATGTTCTTTAGTATGTAAGGAAGACTTGAATCAATCCGAAACCGTTAAAGAACATATTAAAGACGAGAACTAAACCGAAATTGATAGAAGACTAGCCCAATAAAAAAGACCGGTACTTTAAAGGCTAGTAATAAAACTATGTAAAAATTCTATTGGATTGTCGTTGCACATTTCATAAAAATGTGCCTGAATTAAATATAGACTTTCAAGTTTGGCACGATAGATTTTGTTTGGGTATATAAGGCCTGAATTAAATATAGACTTTCTTTGGTTCAGCGAAGTTCAAATTTTGTTCAGTTTTAGTTTTGCGTTTTGTTCGAGTTTTGATCATTAAAACTTCTGTAATCCAACTAATAACTTGAAAGAAAAATCTCAATTCACCAACAAATAACCAAACTGGTAAACAAGGTCGACGAGTGAATTACGCACCCGGCGACAAATTTTTCTTGGAAGACCCTTCTTCCCTTACATATGATTAGCATTTTAAAAACTTAATAGTTTTGTGTTATATTAAAAAATGAAAAAAAAGCCTACCATATGTAAAGGGTAAGAGCAGAAGACTAGATATCTGCCCCAAGGAGGGTCATCAGGAAATCTCTATAGTCACCTGATGTGTCATCTGCAACTGCTTGGTCAAGACTAGAAGAGTTTATCTTGTTATATTCTCCTCTAACTTTCCCCAAATCGATTTCAGCGCGAGTTACAATGGCTCTGGTTAGAGAATCCTCATCAGTTCCTAGCCCAATCACCGACGCTCTCACAACCTGCAAAACAAAACGGCAATGCCCGTCTGATTTCGCAAATGAGAATGAAAAATGACCCGAAAAAAAGATTTGCCTCGTGTCTTTGTTTGGATAAATGGAATGTAACTCCTCGGAATGAAGAAAAAAAGACGTGAAAATCAGGTGAAAGGTTTACTTTTCTGCTGTTTTGGTTGGTTGTTAGTGTGCTTTAGGCAACAAGTTTGTTGTTTTTGTTACCTCAGCAAAATGTTTCTCTGGGGAGTCGATGCACCAAATGACAACCTTCATAATAGACTCCAAAAGGCCTTTGCCACAACTCTTAATATGCTGCCAAGTGCCAAAACTAAATAGGGGTTACATGACAAGACGAAAATATACATTCTAAATCGAAGAAAAGGGAAACAAGAAGAAGAAGAACAAGAGAGAACTCGTTGAGTAAATCGTGGTTTAACAAGATAACCTGATGAATAGAGTATCCATAGTCTTGTTTGTAGCACTCGAAAGACGCTCTAAGCTGACAAAGATTCCTAGTACTGAGAATATAAATAACATCATCGTTGTGCAGCTGCTGTGTTTGGATGGCTTCATGAAGCTTAGCAGCCTCTAGATTCGCGATAGTAGAATCCACTACTTTTTTGTCATATCTGTAGGAACTTACCAAACCAACAAGAACCTGTCGAACATATACATATAGGAATGGCATGTAAAGCTAGCGCAATGATCTTTGTAAAATTCATGCCTATAACCAAAGTAGATTTTTTACTATAATTACCTTCTTCAACGGCATAGAGATGTTTGCTATTATGTCTTCTTCAAGCGAGCAGTCAAAAAGAGAGCAATATGCGCGCCTCACGGCAACCAGATGGTCGGGAGAGGAAGCACATGCTATCTCAACAATGATTTGTAATTCTCCTAAGCTCTCCTTCCTTGACTTTAACGCCTTGTTTGCCAGACGTGCATCTCTCTCCGGAGGATCATATGTCCACAGAATCACAGCTTTCTATGGTAAAAAAAAACGATCCTTATCAAGAACAAGGAGATGGAGAATAGCAAGCTAGGATAATGCTCTTGCAAATTTACCCTGTCTATAGGTTGTGGTTCTAAATGTTTATACCTAAACAAAAGGATCAATCATGAAACAAAGTGGCGCAAGAGCTTTATAAAAACCCCAAGAACTTACAAAATATACCATTTTTTGGACAAAAAAGAAATGCAGCAAGAAAACAATATGCATTCAAGAATATCCATAATCACAAAATTGTAATCCTCATTTCTACACTTCAAATTTCAAGTGTTTTGTGCATAAAATATGCATCAAGGCAATAAACAATTCCTCAAGATTATTCAAGGAAATCTTTTATGGGCGTTCAAATTTAGAATCGAAATACATTTTTCCGAAAAGCGATTCATTCATGTAATGATCTTTGTCAGGTTGACAGCTCCATCCAATTAATTTAATACAAAACTGCAAATAACATCTTCCGCCAAACAGACATTGGAAGATGAATAATCTTAGGGAGCATTGTTTTCGAAAAGAACGAAACGCTACCATGAAATCACCCGATAATTCAGAATGCAGATCATCAATTAGGGATTTGTTGTAAATCTCCATATAAGTTTCTCTGATCTTCTTCCTTTGGCTGGCATTTCTGTGTCCAAGAACCCTTATGATTTCCTTCTCATCAGTCCCCAGTCCTAAACAAAGACCCAACTTTCCGTGAGATCACATTGCACCCAAACTGGTAATCGCTTAAAACAAAATTCTAACAGCGACCCAAATCTCAATCCTGAAAAAAGAAATCAAAATTTTCTGAAAAGAAATAGGAGAATAATCGGAACCCAGATTTAAAACCTTTGAATGCATTCATGAGCCTTTCACAGTCTTCTGTTGGAGAAGGAACCACCTCTGGTACCTTGATCGTACCCATTTTCGCTTTTCTTTTTTTTCCTGTGTTTTCCACTCCTAAAAATTTGATCTTGTGATCAAAGAAAGAAGTGTATGGAAGGTGACAGCAGAGTTTCAGTTTATGTTTAGGGTCAGATGTTTCTTCCCCATTACTGGGCTGGGAAAAAAGAACAGAGGCTCGTAACGTAATCTTGGATTGCTGCAATGCTTCATAATCATAGCTGTTTTGTTTCTGCTGGACGTAATTGCCCTTATGAAAGACGCTATTTTTAAATTTAATTATGGTAATTTTTTGTCTTTTTGTTTTAATATGATGTTTTTCTAGAGGGTAGCTGTTCAAGTATCCGGCCCAACAAGGCCCACCTAATTGAAAGATCCAAACGCGCTCGGCAAAAGGGCACCGCTCGGCTAAGGAGGACTTAAGAAAACCCAAGGCCTCAAGGTGACAACCGCACTCGGATGCGTATCCCTGCTCAGCTCGGATATATCCACTTGGACCTGAGACGGACTCGACCGGACTCTCCATGGCTAGGCTCCAAGAACTAAGCATGCGTACTCGGGCTCTGCCGCCAGCTAAACACCATGGGCCCACTGCGACGTGGGAGCCTGTATGACTTGTCCAATCAGTGGGCCTAGAATTGGACACCCTGATACACTTGTCTCTACAATTAATTGTAGCCACCCTATTGTCTACCAGTTACTTGTAGTCATCCTAGTTTGTAATCTTATTGTTGGCGCCATCAATCGAACGGCTTGGCCTCAGTGGGCCAGGCCCGCTAGGATGTAGACTAACAGTTAGAAAAGCCCAAATATGTATTGTATAGGGGTGAGCAAGTACCGAACCGATACAGAAAATTTCCAAAAAAACCGAGAATACCAAACCGAAAAATACCAAACCGAAAAAATACCGAGAAGGAACCGAACCATACCGAACTTAATGGTCGGTATGGTATTTGGGAACGGTACGAGGGGACGTCTCATACCGAAAATCCGAACCGAACATATATACTAAAATATTATAAAAATAATACCCCGGAGTAATATTTTTATATTCCTTCACTAAATAATACTCTGGGTAACGTTTTTTTTAAAAAATTGGTTCAAGTTCTATTATGTGTAAATTATACAATTATTTGAGTTTTAACTTTTGTGTATGAACATAAAAGTATTCACAAAGATTTGAAATACTCCCTTATTGTCCTTCATTTTTTTAGTATGTGAAATATAAACTAAGTCTTGATACGAATCTCTTGCATTTAAATATTCATTTTTTTTAATTTTTCATGTTTTTTTAAATTTAATTCACTTTTTGATTTTGAAAAATAAACGGACATTGTTAAATTTTAACGTGCAAAGTAGGTATGTATATTCATCTCGATTTGTACCGAAACTGATACTGAACCATCCCGAACCATACCGAACCAATATTTCGGGATCGGTACGGGGTAAAATCCCATACCAAATCGAAATATTTGGTACGGTATCGGTACGAGCTAAATACCGTACCATGCTCACCCCTAGTATTGTATAAATACCCCTCCTCGGGATGGGAAGAGAGGTTCACTTTTATTACTAAGCTAATATACTTTCTCTACTCTTGCATCTGAAGGCACTCAGTACTCGTTCGATACTCTTCTATATAGTCTTCTAGGTCCCAGATTCTAAAACCCATCATTGATACTTTCATTGAGAGCTTCAAACACATCAAGCATGCTCCAAAAATGGTTAGATCGAGAAGAGTCACCAGGTCATCTGATGCCACCAACGCTGGTGGTATCAAGATGACTGTGACGGCACCGGCTAACACTTGCCAAGATGACATGGACATCAGCCTAGATGATGTCACTAGCCAGCACACTACTGACCTCTGTCATCGCATCCCGCGGCGGCAGATGGCGGATGGAGAGGGCCTTCGATAACCCATTCAGCAAGTACCGGCCTTGGGAGCCGGTATGGTGTCCCCACGGCCTAGGGGATGATCCATGGCGGAGGAATGATGTTTCCCAGAGATTTCAGCTCCTCGCTCTTTCAGTTCGGTGAGACGTCCGGTATCAGAACCCCTACCATGGATCCCAATAGTTTCTGGGCCATGATGAGGGCCATGATGGTGAACCAGTTTGTGACGGGTTTCCAGGCACCGATCTCCATGCATCAGCCGACGTTTGTGCATGAGGGGCGTCAGGAGGATCCGCAGAACATGGCGGAAAATGCAGAGTTGTAGGCTCACAACATGAAGGGGTTGATGGTGGATTCACGCATGGGTCCGTCAGTAGACGGGAATGATGAGCAGAAGGACAATGGCAAAGCCCCGGAGGAGCTGGTGGCGAGGAAGCAAGCGAATCACCAGGGAAAGGATGAGGTTGGAAAGAGCCGCGAACACTTGAAGGAAGAGCTGGGCGAGAGTGAATCGCATGTATCCGTGTTCAGCCGGATGCGTGTGCCTGCAAAAGATCGACTGCATGGCCGAAGGAACACCATTGGCCGTGACCGGGCAGGCAAGGTAAGGATGGCTTGTGAAGAACGATGAGAGCGTCACCGGGACGCGCAGCCTAAAAGGTTCGTTGCTTAGGCTGAACAATCTATCAATGATCTCGTCTTCAGGCCACCGCATGGGGCACCTGAAAGTGCAGACGAGGGGGGGGGGGGAGAACGCCCCGAGGGATGAACACATCAAGTTCCTCCTGCAGAGGATAGACACGGTAGAGAAAAGGAACAAGCGTGGGTATGCTCCGGAGCCCACTTTCAAACTCCGCTCTCCGTTCTCTGAGAGAGTGTCGAGGGCTCCCCTATTGGGTAATCCATACCTAGGTATGATGGAACGACACATCCGCAGGAACATTTCAACTGATACGAGACCCTATGAACGTCGTGACGGTTTTTGAGGAGGTCCTTTGCAGATCCTTTTCGGAAACTCTAGATGGGCGGGCATTAGAATGGTTCAATGTACTGCCGGAAGGCAGGATTGATTCCTCAGAAGATTTGGCCCGAAGATTCCTGATGTAGATCACCGCCAACAGAAGAAAGAAGCTGCATTTTTGCCACCTCCTTTCGGTTAGGCAAAGGCCGGACGAGCCACAAAGGAACTTCCTTGCGAGGTGGAAGTTGGAGACCACTCAGGTCTATGGAGCGGACGACAGGACAAAGTTGTCCGTTTTCCACCCAGACCAACGATCGAGTGATTTCTCTCAGTGTTTGGCGCTGGAGAAGATGAAGAAATACTCCGAGGCAATAGCCATGGTTGAAGATGAAGAAGCCGAAGCTGAGGAGATTGAGGCTAAAAAGAAGAGAGAAGAAGAGGGAAGATTGGGAGACCAGGTTGTTTCGGTAAAGCCTGCGTCGAAGAAGACCACAGAAGAGCAACCGCCAACATCTGCCGGCCACCGCTACAAGAAGGTCATGGACCAGCGAGACCGACAGCCTTAGGGGAGATATTTTTACCAAGAAAGGGCCTACGACGAGAGGAAACCCTACCCGTCCTACCCTCCTTGCGGTCCCAAGCTCATGTTATCGGAAAAACACACACCATTGACACATCCCATCAGCGCGATCATGGACTATGCTAAGCACCTGGGTCTGGTGGAGTATGACCCAAGGTTTGCTCTAGTTTACGCCATGGACAACGACCCTTATTGCAAATTCCACATGGTGGCCGACCACGACACTAACGAGTGCAAGGTTCTCAAGCGTGACATTGAGAACCTGATCTAGGCAGGGCACTTGAGCTAGTTCATCAAGAAGAGGAACACTCGGCGAAAGGACGACGGAAAGATACCAGCACCATCGTGGGAAGAAGGTGGCAGAGGCTATAATGCAAGGAATAATAGCCACACATTTGGAGGGGTAAAAAGGGAGTTTAGGTTTTGGGTTAGGTATGGTAGGAAACATCAATTTTTCAATTGAAGCACCAGAGGTACTCGAAATACGTGAGTGTCATCCGTTTGACGCCGGATACCACTGTCAATATAACCTTGCCAAAATAACCAATTCTTTTTCCGTAATTCCTTAAACAAAATCCTACCAAATTTTTACTTATACCCTATCGCAATAAACAACACAACCCATTACAAAAATAAAGTACTCTGCCTAGTCTCCCGATCGCCAAAATCATCTTCTCCTTCCTCCTACACTTCGCGCGACCGGACTGAGTTCGCCGGAAGATCTCGCCGGAGTTCTCGGACTGGAATTAAATTTTTAATTAATAGAGGTGAGTATGTGGATATCTAATGGTAGGTTACTCATATATGTTTGAAATTCATGTTCGTAAAATTGTATGATTGATTATGTGGTTTAATTGATTATAATATGAATTATGATTAATTAATAATATATGATGTTGTTGGAGTTGATTGATCAAGGAAGACCAGGTATGTTTCCTAGATTGCATGATTTGTGTGTCAATAACTTTTAAAAACATTGTATGAATCGAATAGTTTGTTAATTGGATTTGTACTCTGCCGATTCTCTGTTTTCCGATGCCAGACGAGAGCACGGTACCGTCCTTCCTTCTACTAAACAACTCGCCGACCTGTTAACCAAAACATTAGGGGTGAGCATAATGACCGAACTGACCGTAGAACCGTTAACCGAAAACTGATTTTATCGAAAGTTCGGTTTCGGTTGGACTATTCAAAACTAGTCGGTTTTTTCGGTCGGGTTTCGGTTACGGATTTATGAGACCCGAACCGACCGAATAACCGACCCTATCTTAGCCCAGCCCAGCCATTAACTCCCCCTGCTTTCATAATTATAGATAAAATCTCCATTCGCACTTCACAGATCTCAGGAAGCTGCCGCCATCACTCCTTTCCTCGTTCGCCGTCCGAGTGTGCCGGCATCACTTCTTTCTTCGGCAGCTTCCTGCATCCTCACCATCGCACCTTCTCGTCTTTCTCTTGGGCCTCTACATAGGTTATTTCAGTGATTGGTTTTTTGCGGTTCGGTCGGTTATTTTAATGTAATATTTTTTTGGTTATTTCGGTTTTGAACTGAAACGACCGACGCTCACCCCTACAAAACACTACCATCTCCTCGCTATACAATTTTGGTTTCCAAACTTCCTGTAACACCCTAATCCGTCCAGGTCTGCAGCCCCTTTCAGACTAAAGTATTAACTTTGGAAATCATAAATTTAAAACGTTTCAAATACTTTTATTCATCATAAATATTATTTAGTACATAATTGTAGCAAAATGCAGAGTGTTTAACAATAATGCGGAAGCAATTTAAACAATGTTTAATAACAACATAATTATTTATTTAAAATCACAAATTTCACCACGACAATCTCGCCCCTTGTGCTGCCAGGAACAAGCCAATCATTCATTCAGTCTACCTGCGTGTAGCAAATAAAACATACTACACGCTCAGCGATGAAGCTGAGTAAGCATATCTAAAGCGTCGAACATCCACATAAATTGAATCTCAATTCACAAACAACCATTTGATATCATGCACACAATATATAATTCATTCATGATATTTTCAATTGTTTAATATTCAACATTCAATACTCAACAATATCCTTAACTAGGCTTAGTCTAAGGCCAAACCTTTGATGATTACCAACTCTTAAACTAATTCTAGTTCAAGGTACTTCTAACCAACTCTTAAGCTAGGTCATTAGTTTAAGGTACATATTCCAATTTATTTACCAACTCTTAAACTAGCCTTCGCTTAAGGTACAAATCCAGAAAACTGAACAGTAGATTACTAACTGTCAGGTTGGGTGGTATCCCCAAACGAGTTCCTCTAGTTTGGTTTATGGATCCCGTACGTACGTTTTACCCAAGGCCACCGAATATACGTTTTTATACTCGCAAGGCCCATTCTAATCAGAAGTCTATCTTAGAGGTCTTCTAAGCAGCCTTAATAGTATGATTTATTAATTCATTATTATCAACTTAACAATTCATGATCATCATTCAGAGTATTCAACATAATTAATTATCATAATCAATAATTAAACAATCATAAAATCTAATAACAAATAGTGGTCTAGTATCGAGTGTTAACACCCGAACTT